AGGAGAAGGCAGAGCACAAGGTTTTTTTTTTTTTTCAGACAGAGTCTCACTTTGTCACCCTGGGTAGAGTGCCATGATGTCACAGCTCACAGCAACCTCAAACTCTTGGGTTCAAGCAATTCTCTTGCCTCCGCCTCCCAAGTAGTTGGGACTACAGGTGCCTATCACAATGCCTATTTTCAGAGATGGGGGTCTTGCTCTTGCTCAGGCTGGTCTTGAACACCTGAGCTCAGGTGATCCAGCTGGGATTACAAGTGTGAGCCACCATGCCTGGCTGGCGCAATATTTTTTTAGGGCATGAAACTATTCTGTATGATGGCATAGGTGGACACGTGACTTTGTGCATTTGTCAAAACCCTAAATACTGCACAATGAGCTCTAATGTAAACCTCAGATTTAAGTTAATAAAAACGTCTCAGGTGCTTGCTTTGGCAGCACATATACTAAAATTGGAACCATACAGAGAAAATTAGCATGGCCCCTGCGCAAGGATGACACGCAAATCCGTGAAGCATTCCATATTAAAAAAAAAAAAAAGAAGTCTCAGTATTGGCTCATGTTTGTGACAGATGTACCACACTAATGCTAGATGGTAGCAGGGGAACCGTGAGGAGGTAGTGGGGGAGAGAGCAGATAGGGAACTCTGTAATTTACACTCAACTTTTCTGTAAACCTGAAACTGCTCTAAAAAATAAAGGATTATAGGGGAGTGAAGCTATTCTGTGTGATAACGGTGGATATAGGGCATTATTATTTTGTCCAGACCCACAGAATGTACACTGCCCAGAGTGAAGCCTGATGTCAACTGTGGACTCTGGATGATAATGATGTATGAGTGCAGGTTCATCAGCTGTAACAACTAAACCACTCTGGTGGGACACGCTGATAATGGGGGGTATTGTATGTGTGTGTGTGTGGGGGGGTAGTAGGGAGTACAGAGGAAAACTCTGTACCTTCTGCACAATTTTTCTGCTCTAATAAAGACTCTATTAAAAATGAAGTCTATTATTAAAAAAAAAACAACCTCGAAAGAGTGTTAGAAGGGGAAAAAGTCTGGTTAACCTGAGCAAACTGAGAGAAGTGATTTCATCTTGTAGAATGCAGTAAATTAAACTACCACCTGTGTTAGTTTCTTGTGGCAGCTTTTTAACTGAAATAATATGTTGTATTTAATAAAACACCAGGAAATTAGTGTGAAATTATCTTTATTTCAGAACTGGAGAGGGGACCTCAGATGAATGCACAGGTTTGGAGAAGCTTGGAAATGAACCGCTTGTGACTATTAAACACACGCCAAATGTTTCTGAGGAGAGGGGAAAACGGAGCATGGTTTCTCTTGGGGCATCAGTCAGTGTGTTAAAAATAAGCGCTCTGGAAGAAACGTTTTACAGTTGCTAAGGATGCAATAAAAACGCTTCTGAAATTTTAGTGTAAGTTAACACATTGGAATGGATCCCAAAATACTATACCTGTGTATAGTAACACAGTAATACATTTTTAAAAATACGGAATGCTTCACGAATTTGCGTGTCATCTTTGCTAATCTTCTCTGTATTGTTCCAATTTTAGTATGTGTACCGAAATGGTTTAATTTAGCCAATACTAAGGGTCCCTAAGTATGACTTGAGGGTTAATTGAGGGTCCCTAAAGTTATTCCTTAAAAATATAAGTGTCCTACCTTGCCCATTATTTTAAAATCCACTTCAATAAATGCTCCCACAGACACATCAGAAGAGGTAGTCCCAAAAGTACACTTCTGGGTTCAAATCCTCTACTCCTGTTTCTTGGGTGACCAAGTTACTCAATTTCTCTTGGCCTTTGTGTCCCCATATGTGAAGTGGGGACAACAGCAAGCTCTGCTTCACGGATTGAATGAACTAATGTACATCATTCACTAGTGTGGGGCAGGCACACGCTCTCAAGTGCTAACTCTTATTTACCGAATAAACTGACTTTAAGAGGCCATGACTCTCTGCCACTTTTTAGGATCACCTGTTATGATCCCTTAGGCTGATGGAAACTTGCAGGCTCCTCTGCTGATAATACTACCACTTTGGGGTAATTAAATACTTCCATGTTAGATTCTCCCACTGGGCTGTGAACTTGGTGAGAACAGGAACTAAATTTTAATCATCTTTGTTAACAAAGCACATTTAAGAAAACATGTCTCAGAACCAGGAACCACACTAATTTATTTGTTACTGGAAAAGAAACTTTAATTTTGGCTAAAATGTATATTGTCCAACTGAAAATTTCTTTTTTATTTTTCAATTAAAAGAATAAAGCCGGTAAAGCTTTAATCTACAAATACTCTGGTCTATTAATAGTACTGCCTATCAACTTTTAAAGTCATTTGTGTCTTAAAGTTTTACTCGTGGGGAGACTTGATTATCCTAGGACTTTTGGCTAAAATGTCGCCACGTGGAAAACAGAGAAAACAGCAATGTTGCTGTCAAACTCAAAATTAACTGCAAGTTGAGATCCAAGTCGCTTTTAGTTGGTAAAAGTTCAAATTTACATTACAACAGCCCCAGATAACAGATGAAATCTATATCTCTGGTTTTGAAAGGCTCTGGTGAACACAATGAATACAGCTTTAGCAACTGTATCAAGGACTATTTATTTAATCAAGATGGGAAATAACGGTTTATGATATCCTAAGAAGCAATAATATTTTTATTTTCATGTAAACTACTTAAAATAAACACCAAGGGCAGTAAACCAGAAAGATGCTCCACCCCCCTGCCCCAAATGGAAGAACAGCTTTTAAATATATATTTTTTCTGTTTCATTTTAAGCAACAGACAAGTATTTAACTAAATTATTCTCTACAGAGACTATTACAATGGCTTTTCTATTGGTATCTGGATATAATTTCAGATCCACTCAATTTCAAGAAATTGACTGAAATTCAAATCACAGATCTGGTGTAATTTAAATGGAGCTGGCAGTATTTATGCTGATCACAACAAGGAAGTAGCTGGACTCAGGTAATTTAGTTAATAGTATCCAGAGACACCAAATTAATTTCTTATACATGTTCATGAATATGTATGAATTTATTATGAGGCTTGAGGATCAAAAACGTTCCCATTTGCTTATTGTTCATTGGCGACACACGTTAGGTCAGATAAATATTTAGAACACAAGATTCTCAGAATTATGAAACCAGCAGAACTCTAAAGTGCCGTTAGTCCAAGGTTCTCATTTTCTAAGTAAGAAAACGAGGTAGGAGAAGAAGGGGAGTAGAGTGGTTAAAAGCTTGGTCTTTGGAGCCAGACAGACCTGCGTTCCAGTCACAGATTGGCAAATTATTGCATGTGACCTTGGTCAAGTTATTTAACCTCTCTAAGCCTCCATTTCTGCAAAATGAGGACAATAATTGGACTAGGGTGCATTGCAATTATTCAGAAAATGTTAGCAGCTATCATATTATTATTATGAATAAAAAATGACTCTCTCTTTTTTTTTTGAGACAGAGTCTTACTCTGTTGCCTTGGGTAGAGTGCTATGGTGTCCTAACTCACAGCAACCTCAAACTCTTGGGCTCAAGTGATCCTCTGGCCTCAGCCACCCAGGTAGCTGGGACTATAGGCACCTGCCACAATGCCTAGCTATTTTTAGAGATGCTGGAGTCTCACTCTTGCTCAGGCTCATCTCAAACTCTTGACACTCGAGCAATCCACCCACCTTGGCCTCCCAGAGTGTTAAGATAACAGCCATGAGCTACCCTGACTGGCCACAAAAATGACCTTTCAGGCAAAGAGGCAGCAACAGAACCAGAGTTGCTTAAACTTGAGAGTTTCTGACACATCCTAGGGCACTTTTTATCTAAACACAGTACCTACAATAAAAACTCCCTGATACTGACAAGTGCAGCGCTGTATAACTCTACATCACATAGAAAGATAACTCCTCCAGTGTTCTTGTTATTGAGCTGCTCAAAATGTTAAACTAGTGATTCCACACCAAGGTTTCAACTTCACGAGGATTCACATTCCATAGGATGTGGAAATAGGGAAACGGATATTTCAAGTTTACCCCCCCCCCCATAACTGTTAACAGCACAATTACATACTTTTAGGTATTTTCCACCAAAAGCTGCTCAATATAAAATACATGCCCAGATGTACTGGCCACAAGTAAAAGTTAGGGCTCACTTGCTAATGATCTTAAATTTGATGTCGGTTGGTTGCTACTTTGAATAAGTACAATGTTCTTATTTGCACTGTCCTTTGGATATCACCGCATCCTCTATCCATCTGCCCTGGAGGAAGCAGAATAAGGAAAAGCGGCAGGAAAGCTCAGGTGAAGCTACACTCTGTGTGACCTTGGCTTTGGCTAAAACAGACTAGCAGGAATCCAATTGCCTCCGAAGAACCACCGACGTTTGGAGTTGCCATTTTTGGGTGAAGACTTGTTCTTAAACGTTCATCCCACTCAGAGTTGATTGAATGTTTTTCTTCTATTTTGCAAACTGAACAATCAGAAGTCTCATAAAGAATATTGGCTTTATATAATATGCTCCCAATACTATTGCTTTTGATAATTTTTAGTTACTCGATAGCCTTTTTGGCAAATTTTCTCAGACTGTGAAGTGGGTGCTTAAAACATTTTCTGGTAATAAACTAAAAGTCATTTTTCTCCTAATGTGGAGAATGATTTTTTTTTGAGAATGATTAATAGACACAGGGTGTCCATGAAATTTATGGGCACCCTCTGTGTGTGTGTGTGTGTATAAAAATTAATTTTAAATCTTTAGAAGTAATTCAAGGCACATGTACTGTGGTATAAACATAGCAAATAGACATCACGTCAAACTACAGTGAGATAAGGTCAAGCAAAAAAGAGCACAAAGCCAAAACACCTTTTTAAGTAACACACTGTGATTCAGCAGACCAACAGATGAAGAAAATAGTAATTTGAAAGGTGGCAATTTGTCTCCATACCCAGTATTTAGTATTTCAGCTACTAGAGAGAAAATAGTTTGGCAAACTCACCCGCATTTTCGCACAAGCATCTTGGGTTGATTCTGTCCCCCTAAGCTCTTTTATCAGCATAGAACCTAAATACTGAAATACGAAAATAAAAAAGAAAAAGAAAGAAAGAAAAATCAGTGATTTACGAAGAAAAGAGTGTAAACCTGAGTGACAGTTTAAAAGCAAATTGTGGAAGTATTGCTTGCTGGGTTTCCTGGCAAGTAAGTCGTTGCATACCTTTTGCAAAGTACCAGTAACTAATCCTAACAAATGAAAGCATTCATAGAGAAAATGCCGCAGAATTAACCATAAGTTCTGGGGACTGTAATTGCTCTTTATAATGAAACAGCAGCATCTTCTAAAGATGCCATCTTTCAAATCATATTTAACTGCAAAATGGGGGCATCTAAAAATGTTTCCCCCCTTTTTTTTTGAGGCAGCAATGTCTGCAAAAATAAATCACACTACTCCCCATGTAATTACAGGGTTGTATGAGACAGCTGAGGAGCCAACCAACATGGCCCCCGTTTGAGCTTATTCTGCCGCATAGGTAATTAACGATGGGCTGTTCTTAGGCAGAGATGCAGTTTGGGACCTCGTTCATTCACAGCTGTGGGCCCCGAGGTTGATCCACCTGAGAAGGGGGTGGGAGCGGGAGCCTGCAGGGAGGGAAGGCGTCATTCTCAGTTGTTTTGGGTGGGGGGGGGGAGAGCTGAGTCCTTGGGGGCAAAGATAGACTTGGAGGGAGATGGAGACCAGCAGGCTGAGAAGGTCTCCTCCCAGGAATCACTAACCACTCCCAGGATCGTCTAACCACTTTGCAGTTAGATGATCAGCTCCGATCCTGTCCCACCTTGCTACAAAACGCTGCTCAGGCTCCAGCTTCCGGCTGGGGACAAATGTCTATTTCTCTTATCAGCTGACTGCTCTTCAACCTTCCCAAGCTTCCAAGGGTTCCTTGGCTTTGTCATTCCCCCCTTTCTTACTGCCCTTCCTTAAAAAAGCTTTCTGTGTTTTATTTAAAAAAAGTGAATTAAGATAATTATTTTAGAAGAGATTTGAAGGATGCTTCCTAACAGGACTGGCGCCATCCTATCACTCTGCAGAAATGGCAGCACCAGTCTCAGGACCAGGGAAGCCCTGGCCTGAAGAGCAGGTGGTGCGTTCCCGGGCAGAGCGGCCGCAGAAGGCTCGGCCCAGGGCCTGGAAGAAAGGGATGTTCAGGAAGGCTCCGGGGATTTGGGGTTTGGCTTTTGGAGGAAGGAGCCATTTCAATCCTGAAGTCTGGGGGCAATACTATTGAAATAAATCTCATCCTGAAAGATAAAGAAACAGTAAAAAAAGAGCAGAAAGCACAAAATGAAAAGAAAACGTGTAAACTGCCATGAGATAATGACCAGGCCCACATCGTCATCAAATTAAGGCGACATGTATTATCTGGCGGTGAAAATCCGCATCTTTCAAGTTATCAGCAAAGTTTGCCTGGATCGAAACATTTCTTTTCAAGAGAGGCAGTTTCAACGTGCCGCTGAGGGCTCTGCCACAGTTTTTGGCTGTCGTCATGACAACCACCACCTGACCCAAAGCCCACAGTAGATGGTTGAACAGTCACCTGTTCGTATTATTCACAATTCTCAGCCAAGTATAACTGTTCTCACTCATCTAAAAAACAAACAAAAAAGTAAACCAGTATAATCCTCTAATGAAGAGAATGAGAAGAGTCGGGTGTTTATATAAAGTTGTAGACCCCGTGTTTTGAGACCTGATGTTTGGCCAGTGAGTGGAGGTGTACGTCGTGTGCTATACTTACTTTCATTACCATTTTAAGATCGTGCTTGATCACCTTTCTTTTAAAATACAGAGGGTGCCAAAAAAATGTATACATTTGTTATCTACGTATTCCTTTTTGAAGTTGAATCCCAGCCACCGTTACTGCTCGCATGTACGGAGACATGCTATGCACATCCATTTTACCTGCAATTCTTACGCTTTTGGGGAATGATTGATTTTAATTCTAACAAGATCTGTTAAAATGTGTATTTTTGGCACCCCAGGGATACAACTCTATAAGAATAAGGCAAAACAGCCCTTCAGCTTTCAAGATGAAAAGGGTTTGAAAGCTCTCGTCACCTGGACTTGATCTTTGGGTAGAAGGCTACTTGAAGAAAAAGTGAAGGGAAAAACCCTTCAGGAATCTCAGTGATGGACATTTTGATGTATTTTCAATATAGACATAAACAAACCTCACACATTCTCTCTTCCCACTTTTACCCAAATACTGAATTCAGGGTAACTTACAAAAGCTTTGTAATCACACGATTGGAAGATGAGCTTTTCTGGGTGGTGCTGCCAGTACTGTACTGGAGTGGACGCTGTGGCTTCATTTGGAGGTCGCAAGGTAATGGAAGGTTCTCCCCAGTCTCCTGTCTAAAAATGACATTTATTCTAGAGGCAATATGAGTGGTGAGCCAAGTTCATTCCCTGTATCTACCCTGAGTTCAACTTATACATGTGTGCCGTAAATATAAATATGCACTTGGGTGTATTATCTGTATATAAATGCTTTTATTGTTCATTATGTTTTTACATGTATTAGCATCCGATTGCTCAGAGCTCAGTTAATTTTTAAGGTGTGAGGTAGCTGAATTATTCCACCTTTAGGATGACACCCTGAGCTAAGAAATTTTAAAATAGAACATGAAGATACTGAAGAGATTAATAAATGATTTAGTAATCCCTAATTTTTCATCACAACAGAAAACATACAATCTTTAAAAGAATTTTTTTTTTCACAGTCTTACTTTGTCACCCTTGTTTAGAGTGCTGTGGGGTCATAGCTCACAGCAACCTCAAACTCCTGGGCTCAAGCTATTCTCTGCCCTCAGCTTCCCCAGTAGCTGGGACAATAGGCGCCACAACACCTGGCTATTTTTAGATTCAGGGTCTTGCTCTTGCTCAGACTGGTCTCCACCTCCTGAGCTCAAGCGATCCACCTGCCTTGGCCTCCCAGAGTGCTAGGATTACAGGTGTGAGCCACCGTGCCCGGCCCTAAAGGAATTTTTTTAAAAATTTGACTGAAAGATTTAGTTTGAATTGCCTTTATGTTCAGAATACACAGTTCTATAAATTTCAGTTCCCAAATAGGACATGTACTATGCACTTTGAATAATTTTAAATCTTTGAAAAAACAGTGCTATTAGCATGATACTACTCAAAATTTTGAAAGCAAAATTTACTAATGGGTGGACAACTCATTTCTCTCATCTAAATTCAGTTGTATTAAGTCAATGCTGTGAACACTGTGACTACCTTGAATGTACTTGGCTTCCTTCCTCAGAAAACTTATAGCACCAATGAAGACAAAACATTTGAACACCAAGTTTGATCTTATGTACCTGTGCACGTACTTGAGAACTCTGACTCATCAATACAAGAGCATGCACTTGTAGGCATATCTGATATATTCCCGTAACACAGATCTAAACTGGAAGGCCATCTCATCATTTCATTGATTGCTTTCCATGAGGTGAACTGCAACTTGTTTGATGACTATAAAACAAGTCTGAGTGACTCTTAAGTCAAAGGCCTGCCTCTTCCCGGCTCTACTCAGGTTTCCGTATCATACACGGGATAGTTCTTACCCTTTTCTGGGGTAAAGGTTCTGATTTTTCAAAGCTCAGTTTTTAATTCTCAAACAGACATAACTAAAACTATTATAGATAATAGGCAGATTTCGAAAGCCACTCTCTTCTCACCTAGATTTGGCTGGCCTTATTATAGAACTACAAGGAATTACTTTTCACGAGTTGGAAGAGTGTAAGATGGTCTGATGGGCTCCCAAACCAAATCTTGGTTAGGGAACCAGTTCCAATGAAGTACTAGCAAATGGGTTGACACACTGTATAGGGTTTCTTAAGGATTTTGAAGGAGTCTAAGACAAGAATGCAAAAGTTTGGATGTAGGTGTATGTTTTGGAAGGGAAAGGGAGTCCATAGATTTCATTAAATTCTTTGAAAGGATCTAGAAAGCCCCAAAGGTCTCCACAGATCTCCAGGAAGGGTTTAAATAAGCTGTGTATTCCAATGTTCTCTGAGTGGTTTGGACTTACGTTAGGTGCAGTATGAGGGGCTGCCAATAATAGAACGTTACATCTAGAGGACTTCAGGATTTCCCACAGCAGTAGAGAGCCTGAAGCTTTTCTCCTCGAGATGGGTCCCTTCCTATTGCAGGACAAGCAAAATTCACATCATGCTATTTCTTGACTCTCACTGTAGTGTGTGGCCAGTTGGAGCTGTTCCGGGTCCTCCCTCACACTCTGAACTTCTACTGCCCATGCTAGTTTTGTTCTAGTTGCTAATTTACTTGTATATGGCTCAATCTCCTATTCCCTGCCTGTTGGTATTGTCAGGACTTTACTTGTAATATTTTTAGCATTTTTGTAAAGATTCATTCCCAAGTTATTCTCTTTATATTTATATACATTTTTATTTTATAAAGGCAATAGCTGACTACAATTAATTTTAGGATTTTTTTCTTCTAGCTTCCTATTTTGATGTTTTCTTTTTCTTCTCTCTCACGTACCTGAATATTTGTTATCTCTCCAGTCTTTGTCTCAACTAGTTATGATTTGCTCTCAGAAAACTACTATTGTAATATAGGAAATGTGAATCTCCATAATATTTTAAAGTGCAGTGTAATAGCCTTTAAGTGATAATAACTTTGAATTGTGGCCACATGCAGCTATGGGTTCTTAAATAAAAGCTCTACCCAAATCTGGCCAATCCTCTTCTAATCTACCCCATTCAACTTCTCCCCCCACCCCCTTTCTCCCCTTCCCTCGATAAAGCAACAACAACATAGCAAACAGGTATTGGACATTTAAGTCACAGGTAACACTGTTAACAGAACAACAGAAGTTTGCACGAAACTCTATGGAATGATACAAGAGGAGGATCTGGTTGACTTCAAAAGTTCCTTTAATCCAGTGTCGGCTGATATGACAACGTGAACAAAGCATCAGATCTTCACGTGAGCCCTACAGTAGTTTAGCAGAGGTGCACCTTGGCCAAGCTCAACAGGCAGTTTTCAAAAAAGTGTGAACATGGCATGAGCTGAGGCCACCATGGGTTGCAGGGCAGAGCTGGGAATAAATAGGGCTGGGGATGGGAATGGATGGGTGAAGCTAGGGTTATGGGGGCATTTTCACGCATTAGTACATTAAGCATGCAAATCATATGCAAACTCATTCTATAATTGTTCAATTAACTCACACACTTTTACAATTAAACTTTAATGTGAGTTCCATATCCTTTAAGCCAGAGTTACAGCCAAATGCTGATCCAAATATTTACATCATCCACATAGGTTGAAGCAGCCATTTTGGGAGTAACAAGCCCAGCACATACAACCTCAGCCTGGAAATCATTGAGATCTCTTATTTGATAACTGCTTAAAGAAATTCGTGGCACATCCATTTAACTCTGCCTGGGCAGCACATCGTCTGCTTTCCTATGACTCCACTTTGTCCAGAAATCACTAAGCACCTGCTTTGAATACACTGTGATCTGACCGGACCTCCCCTGGGTGCAAAGGCAGGAGATTCTTAGGGAAGAGAAAGAGAATCCTTACTTCATTTTCTTGGTGGTCTTGAAACATTGCTCCAGTCCAAATATTTTAAAATTTCCTACAGGGACTGAATCTTCCTTTCTGGAAGGAGACACTGAATTTTGTCATATTTAGTGTTATTTCCGGAAATTTGTTTTCAAATAGATACAAAAGTATTCTTAAGATGGAATTCATTAAAAAAAAAGTCTTTTCTTCTTAGAAATTCATCAAGTTCCTCTCTCGTTCTCTTTCTCATGACTCTTTAGAAGACAATTAGTAGATGTTGGTGCTTCACTTTGGAATTAATTTAATGGGAATGGATGGACTCCAACAACTGGACTTAACATGACATTACTGCAGAGGACAGGGATGGCCTTGGCCCTTGGGTAGGATCCAGCTTTACCTGGTTGACTGCCAGTAAAAACAAAACAGTTCAGAGAACAAGGGCGCCTTAGGTCTCAACCCTCCTGGAGGTTGAATTACAGCAGGAGTGAGCTATGGAGGAATTAGGTAGAGGAGTTACTAAATGCAGTGGCCAAAGAGGCTAAAAAATAAAGATTTTTGCCTCATACATAAAATAATTTTGAACCTTAAAGTGCAGTTTTAGGTCTTGTTTAATAATACATTCATGTCTACATAATACCTATAGGTCCTTGGGCAAAAATTTTTAATTAATTTAAATAATTTCCCACTTAAAAATGCTTATTAAATATTAAATAAAAATTTCACAGGCCTAAGAAATCTCTTATTTCCATAGTGGTTTATAATCAAAGCTTACCTTTTTTTTTTTTTTGGAGACAGGGTTTTATTCTGCTACCCAGGCTAGAGTGCAGTGGCCCCATCATAGCTCACTGTAGCCTTGAACTCCTGAGCTCAAGTGATCGTCTTACCTCAGCCAGACTACAGATGCATACCACTGCACCTGGCTGATTATTTTTAATTTTTTGTAGAGATAAGGTCTTGCTATGGTGCCAAGCCTGTTTTCAAATTCGTGGCCTCAAGCAATCTTCCCACCTCAGCCTCACAGAGTGCAGGGATTATGGATCTAAGCCACCTTATCTAGCCATAGTCAAAGTTTATCTTTAATGAAAAGTAGATCTAAACCTAGGTAACAGTGATGCAATAATATTTAATTAGAATAACAAAATGAGGCAGGAAAAGTTTCGGGTAGAATTCTGTCCTATTTTAAACCATTAGTAACAATGAGAAATTAAAGTGATCCATGGTACTCCTAATAATCATCTTCAGGCTATCTCTTTTTTTTTTTTTTGAGACAGAGCCTCAAGCTGTCCCCCTGGGTAGAGTGCCGTGGCATTACAGCTCACAGCAACCTCCAACTCCTGGGCTCAAGCGAGTCTCCTGCCTCCGCCTCCCAAGTAGCTGGGACCACAGGCGCCCGCCACAACGCCCGGCTATTTTTTGGTTGCATGCGTCATTGTTGTTTGGCGGGTCCGGGCTGGGGATTCGAACCCGCCACCTTAGGTGTACGTGGCTAGCGCCTTAGCCGGTTGAGCTATAGGTGCTGAGCCAGGCTATCTCTTTAGTGCTTTAAATACTTATGAAAATCTTTCCTTTAGGTTCATATATTTGAATAATCTTAATGTCCCAAGAATTTCTTCATGGCTTAAAAACCTCACTTGGTACTTATTATTTTTTGTATGTATGCCTTGAGGCTTTTCCAGTGCATCTATAAATGCACTAAAGGACATTATTTAAACAAAGGAAAATCTACATCATTAACTGTCTGTTTGAAACCCCATAAAAACTAACCTTCTAACATAACCGAAAAGCATGATCTGAGATTAGAAATTTCAATGGAGAGTTGATTTTATTTAACAGGTATTTAGCACCTGCTGAGTATCAAGTCATAGTCTGGCTGAGTTTAAAGGGCTATAATTGGGGTCCCACCTAACTTAAGATAATTAAATTCAATATTCTATTACACCACCAGCTGAAAAATCTAAAACTATCAACTTAAGTTAGATATAAAACATTACAAAAAATTCACAAAAGCTCAACTGGATGGCAGATTCCAAAATGTAGCTTTCAAACTTTACATGATTTCAAAAGGTGGTTAATAGCTATAAGTCTTGGGTGGTGCCTGTGGCTCAAGGAGTAGGGCCCTGGCCCCATATACCGGAGGTAGTAGGTTCAAACCTGGCCCCGGCCAAAAACTACAAAAAAAAAAAAAAAGCTGTAAGTTTTTAGGTCATAGGCACCAAATGCCTAAGGCAAATTCTAAAAGAGATCACATCACGTACTGTCTGTCCCCCAAAGGGAAACTGAATATTACATATTCTACACGCTTCCAGAATAAAAAGGGAAGAATTTTTTCCATAGTCATACTTTTCTTGAGAAAAAAGTTTCCCAAGGACGTCAGTAAATAATTAAAAGCCATGATTATGACTTAGCTTTCTAACATTCACAGAAAGGGATGGCATTTTCTAAGCCTTGTATTATTCTTTCAAAAATTAGGACTTAATTGATTTTTTAAATAGAAGCTTTTAAGTCTTTTCTACCAAGAACTTCTCCTACCCACCTGCTTGTAAATTTAGATCTGAATAGTAACAAACATTACTCTCTCTGTCTTCAGAACACTTAACACAAAACCAAAATGGTTTTTAAATGATATTTGTTACTTTAAGGTTTAACTTTCAAAAATTTGGACAAATTTCAGAGATGGACTACCCAACATACATAAGGTATACGGCTATGGTGGGGGGGCAGAGCACAAAATTCGTGTGCAATCTAAATACATGTGCTGTTTAGACAACTATTGAAAATTGCACACGAACTTTATGGCCCCTGTGTATGTGATAACATTTACTTTCTGAAATCTGTAAGGCTTTGAAGAATGCTCTATACAGCTCTCTGCTTATACATGTGCGTAAGCGCAGACGTGGATGTAAGGAAGAGGCCTCTTATAAACATTCACACACATCTGAAAGCAGGATGCTGCAGTTGTTTTCAAAAACCTTCAAGAATAAAGCATGCTAGTTTGGTCACATGCAGTTGGGTATGCTCAATTTTTTTTTTCTTTTCGTTGATAAAGAGCAGAGATGGCCACGTGTGAGCACGTTAAAGCTTTGCTTAGCATATATAGAGGTTCAGGAGGAACTGCTAGGTTATGTGAGCACCAGTCCTAGGCAACGTATCAACATCACAGTCCTCAGAGCCAAAAGTCCCATGCACAGGAGGACAGATGTAGGTGACGCAGCATCCCAAAAGGCACGTCACAAAAATGCCCGGGAGACACCCCTTCACATGCCACCCCAACAATTCTGCTCAGTGATTCTCAACCCAACGTCTCAACCTCTCAGACGGCAGGCTATCCAAATAGGAAAATTTAACAGGAGGTGAAAATACAATTGTCTTTTAAAATACAAGACATAAAAATCCAAACATTGAAATGTTTTCTTTTCTGGTGAAAAGAATTTTTTTCCTCTAAAGTATGCAAAGGTGAAATGTGAACATTTGAGTTTTAAGCAGCTCAGAGTAAAACGGGCCACAACCGCACACATATTCCAAAGATCAATTTCAGGATCGTCCAATGGAAAAAAGGCTGAGAACCACTTGGTAGCTGTTTCCCACTTTGCCTCCTCCCGTATTTGCATAAAATGTATACAAAGTATCATGCAAATCATACTCAAATCTTTCTCGCCAGGAAAGCAAGGGAATCTTTGAGCACTATTAGACACAAAAGGTTGAATAGCCCATGGACATGGAGAAGTACAAAATGGGGGGGGAGAATAACGCTGATATATACATATTACTTTATATATATCAGTATCAGTTCACCCTGTTCCTGTAGAAGCAAGCTAACACAGATGCCTGGAACGAAAGCCAAAACTCAACATGGGACAGATTTTCAACTGCGGACTTTAAAACCAAAGATGGGTCTCATTTGGGAACAATGTTTGCACATCAACTAGTCACAAGGCACAGTCAATGAAGGATACCAGACAGAGAATCTCAGGAATCGAGAGACGTTACAGATCGTCTGCATTGCCAGGACACAGTACCTGTAGCTCTTGACAACACTTTGCAACACATCACACAGCGCAAGTTCAGGAGGAGAAAATAACCGTTTGTAACCTTACATTATGAACCTGATGGATCGCTGAGAAAGGAAATCCAGCATTCTGATTGGTCCATATTTCACAGACAGACGACTGCTGGTATAAACAGAAAACTATCTTATCTTGTCAATATTTAAAACATGGCAGCTACCAAGGTAGCATCCAGGAAAGAGGAAAATCATAAAAGGCAAAGAATCACATTTCTTTTAAAAAACTTCAAAAAAAGGTTTTAGGATGCCCACATTTTAATAATTGACTCTTAATTTTTTTTTTTTTTGCTTAAAAAATCATTTCAGGGTTGGCTGGAATAAAAAAAAAAGATCATTTATGCATTAGTGTTAACATTAAGAAAAATGACCCATAAATTATACACCCTGGACAAAGCAAATTGTGTTGTAACATTTGCCAGAAAGAATGGAAATACCTTCCTTCTTCATATCGGTATTTTCAGAGGATAAATATTTTTATTAACTTCAAGGTATGTGGGGGGAAAATACCCTTTAACATAGGCCCAATTTTTTTATTTTGTTATCTTCAATGACCAAGAGCGAACAAGGCAATGAAGTGACATTCTTGATTTAGTCATTGATCCATTTGATAAGCCTAGATGATACTTATGCCTCTGGAGTCCTCTGGGGCAAACCTCTGTAGTTAACAAGGGAAAAAGTGTCCGTTTGCTCCCTGGTCCTGGGAATGGTGATGGAGGTGGCAAAGGAGGCTGAAGCAGAGAAAAGTCAGGCTCAGGGAATCTCAGTTTATGGAAACAGCGTCTGTGAGTCTAATCAGCCAGCTCTATAACTAACTGTGTCTGTCCACCGCATGTCATTAAACCCCCTAAGGCAATCAGGTTTGCTCAGAAGGAAACGCCAGAGTAACCCGCAACCCCTCCCAGGAGTGACAGCATAAACCACCAAATGAACCCACTTGGCTTGACCTTCCCAGAGTTCTTTGCCTGCATTTCATCCTTCTAAAAGGCACTGTGAAATTGAATCACGGAAAATGGCAGAGTGCCTGAACTTACTCAGCAAGCTCTGCGAGCATCTCCCGAGTTCATAAACAGAGCGTACAGAGATCATCGCAGGAAGAAGATAAGCATATAATCACGATATGGTTTAGAAACCCAGCAAAGAACAGTATCAGCAGTAAACAAATCATGGAAAAGAAAGCTTCTTCCTAGGAAAAAGTTTCCCCTACCCTGCCCTCCCAGGATCGCTCTCTGGAAATTCAGCATCTCTGTCTCCGGGGCCAACAGCATCTCCACTCACACCTGCACCTTTGCTTTGTGGCCCTCTGTCATCTGGATGGCGGCCTAAGGACAGACTGTCAGGAAACTGACAGTCTGTTAGGATGGCTCCCCAGGGTCTGAACAAAGTCACACACACACCACCTCCCATTCACAGCAGCTTTGTCCCCACTCTAATCTTCTTGCTAATTTTTCAACAGGGGGAGCCTCCTCTCAAAAATTAATTCTCTGGTAAGTTACGTAAGTCTTAGGCCCATTAACTCCCACCCTCCTCGCGCTGGCCTTGTCTCCGATAGCTGTCATCTGATTTAAACACACTATCTCCATGCCTCAGCTGGATTACCATCTTAACTGGAGCCAAACATACTCCAGGCAATCCCTGACCTTTTCAGCACTCTCACCCACAGTGAGCTAATTCTTTTATGCAAATCACATCTTCTACAACTTTCTGGTGCTAGTAATAACCCAGAGACCACCTGTCATCTGACAGATGAAGACATAGACATTTGGAGAGGTTGGTAGCTTGCTCAAGCTGCACAGGGGAGTGGGAGGGCCAGGAAGGCGTGTGAGCCCAGTACTGACATCAGTGGAAGGCAGAGAGCAGCTCCAGGTACATGGAACTTGTTTTACTGATCCTGAAACAAGTGCAACCAGTTCATGGAACAGTTTCAATTCTACAGGGGTTCAAACACCTAACAATTGTATTATTTTCCAAATACTCCCAAGTAGGCCATGCTGCGTAACATTTGGGACAGACTGCAGAACTTCTCAGTCACTTCAAGTCACAAATAATTCATTTTGCATAAAATCAATCTCCTATCTGTTTTAAACTTTCCCCTGTCTTATCATGCACCAGTGCAGTGCTCAGTATCTACAAGAAAATTCCCACTTAGCGTCCTGTTACACTATCTCCCAACAGTCCCGGAAAGTTAGCAGAATTAAGGAGGGAAGAAAAGATCTCCTACCATAAAAATTCCTATAAAAATGTTCTCAGTGAAGAAAAAAAAAAAAAACATACCTCTAGTCATAGACACCAAAGAGAACTCATTCGTGGCTTATAAGCACTTTTAAAGAAGTTGTAATAACCATTTTCCATTGATAAGCTATGTTTTAAACTAAAAAAGTAAAACCTCTATAATTTCTACTGTAGCAGTTATGCACCCCCATAATGACATTTCAGTCCTGAACAGATTGAATACATTATGGTGGTCCTGTAAGATTATAACACTGTCAAAGATACTGTTTTTACTGTACCTTTTTCTATCTTTAGATATGAAAATACCACTGTGTTACAACTGCCTGCAGTACTCAGTAGAGTAACATGCTGTACAGGTTTGTAGCTTGGAGCAGGAGGCTACATTATTTAGCCTAGTGTGTGGTAGGCTAGGGCATCTCCATCTTTGTAAGTATGCTCAGTAACATCCACACCACAAGGAAATAGCATGACGACACATTTTTCGGAATGTAGCCTCATCATTAAAAAAGGCATGACTGTAATTGTGTGACTCAGTGCAAATGGTAAAAAGTCAGAATTTTAAAACAGAGTTTAAAGTAAAGGCAGTTTAGTTATTTAGTTATTTAGACAGAGCCTCAAGCTAGTCCCCTGGGTAGAGTGCTGTGACATCACAGCTCACAGCAACCTCCAACTCCTGGGCTCAAGTGAGTCTCCTGTCTCCGCCTCCCAAGTAGCTGGGACCACAGCTGCCCACCACAACGTCTGGCTATTTTTTGGTTGCAGCCGTCATTGTTGTTTGGCAGGCCCGGGCTCGATTCGAACCCACCACCTTAGGTGTATGCGGCTGGTGCCTTAGCCACTTGAGCCACAGGTGTGAAGGTGGTTTTATTTTTTTTAAAGCTGATACATTGTAGATTTTATAGTAATTCTATTGGCAATCAATAATTCATCAGGCTTATAGATCAGCATGAAAGTGGACCAGCTGTAAATTGTTTATTCATAATACAAAATGGCTCTTCTCTTAGACACGGGGTTCTAAACTCAGTACATTTTTTAAATGCAAGGGAGTTTCCACTGCAGAAATTCACTGTATTCACGAAGGCCACACGTCTGTCGGAGTACAGCACGTACTGAGATACTGAGCTTTGGAAAATTTTGAGCAAGAAAACAGAATAGCAGTGATACAATTTCATCTGGGGCCAAAATTCCTAGGAAAGCAGTAATTTACACCTAAGTTTTACTTAAGCTTGAGAATGTCTTCATCTGTAAAGAAGAAGAGTGTTTGACCTACTTATTTCACCAGGTGGCTGGGTAGCTCATGAGGAGTTTCTTGAGAGAGGAATCTTTTTCACAGCTAAATCTCTAGAGCCTGGAACACAGAAGAAGGCCCTGCAACATACTTTCTAAATGAATGGAATCCTGTAATAGTTTCAAAAGCTCTTGGTACATGGCCTACCTCTCTGCAAACATCAGTCAATAGTATTATTCCTGGTTATTCTGTAATTGGTCTGATTTATTTGTCCCACTTGTGCCGTTAGTAAACTCTGTTGCTGTCAATATGCTCCTGGTAAAATGCACCAGAAATTAATCATGCAGATTTCCTATTAGAAAAGTCCTCATTTTTCCTGATCAAGGCTGAGAAGGGGCTGCCAACTTTGCCAAAGAGAGAAGGAACATTTGTCATTAGCACACCTATGTGCCAAAGGGCTGCTTGCAGAGAGCTTGGAAACAATTCTGTAAAAGAATGTTAATCACCCCTTTGCAATTTCATGTACTAATTAATTTTTTCTCACTTTCTTTTCCACACAGACTGCAAAGGCTCATTTCGTTTTCCTGAACCTGAATCACCATGAAATCCAAACAAAGGGGCGTTAAGCAAAGACAGAGTAGATTTATAAACTGAGATAGCTTCAATCATTCAATGTTTACTGGATGCTGAAGTCAACACCCGTTTGAAGGGGAAGCATTTTACGTTTAGTTCAGAGCTCTCCCTTGACTCTGGAAATGGTTTCTCCAAACACAACACACATCTCGTTCTTGTTACCATCTTGTACCTCAGGTTGCCATGACTTCAGTTCAGAAAACACAACACAATTGCATTCAAATGTGATCCCCAAATAAAAAGGGTAGTGGCAATTTCCAAAGTTTTCTCCCTATAGGTGGACTTCTCTTCTGCTCAACGGGTGACAATCCATCGTCTACAATACCTTCTCTCTCCTTCATCATCTGCTTGGCTCTTTACTGAAGCATTCTCAGAAAGGACTGGGACATCTTCCAAGAGAAGCAAACTTTCCTTGAAGCAACTTCATCCTCAACCTCCTGCTCAATTTCTGTTCTTTAAGCAAAGCTCCCTGAGAGGGGTCTCTACTTTCTTTTTTCCTATCCTCACCCAGCCCACTCTGCTGAAATGAAAACATTTCATTTTCTGTAACCCATCTGACACCCTTGGTCACCCCTCCCATTTCACAGCCTCCTTTTCTGCTTCCTAATACCTGACCCTCCCTGGAACACAAGTCTCAATCCTCCTCCCGTCCTTCTTGGCTGGACTAGGGGTCTCATGCAGCCCTGACTCCTAAATGTCTATCCCCAGTGCAGACCTCTTCCCTGAACTCTGGACTTGGACTCCCAGCTGGACTCCTCCACACCTCTACTCTTACATTTAATAGATATCTCAATCTTCATTTAAATGCCCCAAACCAAACTCCGGATTACCCTACCTTCCCTATAATGTAGATTTCCCATCTCAGCAAATGGCAACCCCGTCTCCCAGTTGTTCAATCTATTTTTTTTGGCCGGGGCTGGGTTTGAACCCACCACCTCCGGCATATGGGGCCGGCGCCCTACTCCTTTGAGCCACAGGCGCTGCCCACCAGCTGTTCAATCTTACAACGTCGCAGC